TACATCTTTTTGCATAGGATTTTACTATAATTACAGACAAATACAGAAAGTTAATGATAAATGACTGACTTAATAAAAAGAAAATAAAAAAAAATTAAGATACACAGAGTTCTGTTTAAAGTTAAATTTACAAATTCAAATCAAACTTAAGATATAACCACATTCTGCAAAATCTGCTTTTATAGACATTAAGAGTTCTGAGCTTCTTTTTGTAAATATTAATATACAGCTGAATGTATCTGTTGCAGATGATCATGGAATTGTAGAAGCACACCATAGAGATGGTTTTCTACAGCTGGAGAATAAATAACTTTTCAGACTGTAATGTTTGTGTGAGCGGGTTAAAAGCAGATGGCTGCAACTCAACAATGTGACCTGATGTGGAGTTTAATCAGGGGCAGTTTGAGTTGTTATAGTATAGGGTGGATTTTAAGACCTGAATGTGTTTCATATCTTCAGCGTCTCTCTGTCTGGACGTCCTGCAAAGTTGACATATTTTATGCGTCAGTGAATTTTCTTATCTGCAAGGCCTCGAACCCATCAGAGCAGTGTTGGCTAAGGTTTGACCTCTTCTTATTTTTTTATAAGAAAATTCTTTGAAAGAATAATCTCAATGTTCCACAGAATGATCCTCATTCCCGTGTTTATCCCAGCCCGTTCGCCTACCCTGAACATGTCACAGCAGCTGCACAGCTTTGTCAGTAAACTCTCCCTGTTCTGAGTTTAATCAACTTTATGCTTTTCTGAGGTAACAGCCAAGGCTGGAGTCAGTCTCAGTTTGTTTGTCCTCGGTGCCCCGTCTTCATTTGGGTGTTGTTATGAATTTAGCCCTGCTATCAGGATATGAGCTGCGTGGCAGATTGAAATGAAAGCTTTTCACCAAACCAGTTCCAGTCCTGGTTGGAAGCCAGCGTTTATTGGCGCCAGTTTGTTCTGTTTTCAACACCAAAGCACAGGGTGCTGCTATGAAACGAGGAGAATAAAATAGCACTTTGCAAAGAACTCCTATTGTTAGCAGCTGGAGGTGGCGTTATGATGACCTCAGCAGGAGTGGCAGGGATTTCTTCACATGTGGAGGGAACCTTCTCTACAGGTTGGCTGCATAGTAAACTTTTTTTATATAAACGTTGGTATTCATTACATACAAAGAAGGCACAAAACATTAACTAATGTTTATGGCAGTACTCTCTCCATACATGCAAAAGGCAGTTGTAAGTTTACTGAGATTGCTTTTAACTGACTGAATAATTTAGTTGAACTTTTTTTCTACATTCTCTCATTTATTTGAGCAATAGTGTTGAATTATACTCAAGGACTAACAATAAGTTGTTTTGCCCTTTTTTGATTCTGTTTTGTAATTTCAGTCTGATAAAGATTTTTTGTGTGCAAATTTGTAAGAAATCACAATATGTGAACAGTGCCT